TCCACACCTCTTAAAGTTGCCAAGGTTGAGAAACACTGCTCTAGAAGGATGTCCTGTTTTCATAAAATCCATGTGTTGGAAGGGGCCACTGAGGACATCAGGTCCACCCTCCTGTGCCATGCAGGAATGCAAATCAAAGCATTCCAACCCCTACAGAAAAGGAGAGTCAGTGGCTCTGTTGTCCCATTGCTCTTTCTGTTATGAAGTTACTCTTGAAATTAGGCCAAAGGATTTCTGCACACTTTGCAACCCTTAGCAGAATTTTGATTCACTCTTCCATCTAGGATTGATTTCCAGCTCTACCCACTTATGCACTGACAACAGTGGTGGACGTGAGAAAACAGGCATATTCATGCACAGTCCTGCCCAGTTCACTAGTTGGGAATTAAATAGTCTTTTGGATATGTTCCTGTCCTAATGATTGAGTTCCCCTTTGAAACTGAGATAGAGTTCATTGGAATTCTGGAATCTGGGTGAGTTTTTGGAAGCATTCCTGTTGCACAGATCTCTCTCTCTCTCTCTCACACACACACACACACACACACTTTTTTTCTTGATTGCTGTTGGACAAATTGTTATGGCCACAAATTCTCATATCCAGGAAATAACCAGTATTTCTCGTCTGTATGACCTTGAAAGTGGAACCAGGCTCTGGGCAAGCCCCTCAGAGACAAGGGCATCATTTTCAACCTCTGAGTTTGTAGCCATCGCTTTTTTCTGCTTTCCTTCTGTGGGTGCAAGGTAGATGAATCTATTGGCTCCCAGCTGAGCTCGGAGAAGAAGGCAGAGTCCCCAAGAGTGCCGGAGAAGTTCAAGGGTTACGAAGAGCTGCTGGGAGGAGACCCTGGCTCAGATTTCGTTGAGCCAAAAGGTGAGTTGATCCCTCTGCTGGTCGGTTAGGGCGGGGGGCAAAAATGGCTGGCTTTGGGGGACTTATTTTCAGGGTGGGGGGAGCTTAAAAAGTTCAGAACAGAGACACCCCCCTCTTTTGGACCCCTAGAGGAGAAGCAGATGGCAAACTTCTGCTCCGTTTGATGGCTGATTAGGCTGTGGATGATGTTGTGGTTATCTTGGTTTGTTTTAAACTTAGGTTAGGGTTAGGCAGGATTGTCGGTTGCTCAGAGGGGGCCTGATTGGAGTGGTTTGGACTTGTGCTGGCAAAAAACAGCAGTGTGATGGGGGCATAAAATGAGGCTAGGTTGATGGCACAGAAAATGAGGCTAGGTTGATGGCGGCCTTTCCCGATGGGTGTTTTCCAGCTGTGTGGGAGTCTAATCTCCATAATTCCCAGCCATCCTGACCAGGAGTTATGGAGCTTGTAGTTCCACCCAGCTTCATGTTGGGCTGCTGTATTCTTTCATTCTGTGGACTGTCAGCCCATTTTCCTGAGAGTGTTCTTACAAATACCCCTCTCCCCATCTGAGGATCGAAATGGTGAGCCCAGATGCAGATGAGCCTCCCCATCAGGGCCTGTGTTTAATGTAGAATTCACGATCCTCATCCTAAATTATAATGGCCTGACCGCCGTAATGAACTTGCTGTTGTGCAGCCCTTGTGTCGGAGGTGAGAGGGATCCAGAGAAAATTGTTTTTCCTTTCATCCAATACTTTCTCCGTTTGTATTTCAACCAGGAATACAACAAAACGTCCAGGCTTTGGAGAAAGCCCTTCGCTATCCTCTTGTCCACCGTGAACCGAAGGCCAGGCTGGATTGCTTCCAGAAGCCTTATGTGTCTGCCAGAAAGAAGGTCAGCAGCCACCCAGAGGTGCTTGGGGGTTGAGTGGGAAGGCTCGGATCCAGATTCTTGCTCCAACAAACTTCCTTTGGCCTCATTTACCTCTCAGTAAAATGGGAATAAACACAGAACCTCCTGGGACTATTGGATGAACCTGCAGTGATTGTAAGGCCCTTCATAAAATATCAAGGCTATCCAGGTGAGCCTCTTGGTTAGTTAGAGTTCTCCTGTGCCAAGGTTATCAGGACTCATGGCTGCGTCTTTATCTGAGCAGGAATAATTTTGAATAGAATAGAATAGAATAGAATAGAATAGAATAGAATAGAATAGAATAGAATAG